TTTTTTCTTATTTTTATTTATTTTTATTTATATTTTCTCATTTCCATTATCTTTATTTTTCTGTTCTTTATTTCTTTTTATTTATAGTTTCTTAGTATTGTTTCGTTCATTTCTTCTATTATTATTATCATTATCCCTCCATATATTTTTCTTGATTATCTTTTGTCATTATCGTCATTGTTGTTATCAATATAATTTTTATCAGCGTTATTACTATTATTATTATCTTTATTACTACAGTTTTTATCCCCATCATTATCATGACTGTTATTATCATTATTATCATTAATACAATCATTATCCTCATTACTTTTAATTCTTTCCTTCTTCCTCTTCATCATCCTCTCTTTCTCCTTCTCCTTTTTTCTCCTCTTCCTCCTCCTCCTCCTCCTCTTTTACTCTCCCCCCTATTCCTACTTCTCCTAATCTTCCTTCTCCCCTTCCTCCTCCTCCTCTTTCTCCTCTTCTCCTCCGCTTCTCCTATTTCTCCTCCTCCTCCTCCTCCTTCTCCTCATCCTCCTCTTCCATCTCCTCATCCTCCTCCTTCTTCTCCTCCTCCTCCTCTTTCTACTCTTCTTCTATCCTGTTCTTCCCTCTCCTCCTCCTCCTCCTCCTCCTCTTCCGTTCTTCTCTCTTCTCCTCCTCCTCCTATTTTTTTCTTCTCCTTCTCTTCTCATTATCCTTCCCATTTTTCCTCTTACTACTTTCATCATGTCCTTCTCTTTCCTTTCTTCCAAGGGGGATGGAAGAAGGGAAGAGGAGGAGGAAAGGAGAACGAAAAGGGGAAGGGAGAAAGGTGGAAAAGAACAATGATGTAGTTATAATTGAGAAGAAGAAAAAGAATGAAAAGGAGGAAGAGAAAGGGAGAAAAGGGGGAAGAGAAGAAGGAGGGTTAGAAAGAGAACGAAAGAAAATACAGAATCAAAGAAAGAGAAATAAAACGGAGAAAGCCATACAAAAGAAGAGACAGAAAAGAAACGAAATGTAAAGAAGGAAGAAATAACAGAAACAGAATAAAGCATAAGGAGAGAAAACACAATTAGAAGAAAAAAAAATGAAAAGGGAGGAAAACAGATAAAGAAAAGAAAACAAAAGAGGGAAGGAGGAAGGGCAAGCAGTTACCCGGACGATAAAGTACGTGATTAGGATAAGATTAAGGATAATTAGATCTCACGACAGGTAATTTAAACGGAAGGGAAACCGGGCCAGCCAACCGACCCGCAGCGGCCATGACACCTCTGCCTGGCGAGGTCGGGTCGAAAATTGTCTGATTTGTTGGCCTCTTCAGTGATCTGGCTGATGTTAATTGCAGTCATTTTGCCGGATGCATTCAGATTCGGTCGAACAACAACGAAATTCACAACAACAACGAATAAAAGAACCAAAAACAACGACAATAAATACGCGCTTAGGAGTTGGCGGAAATTAGACTTCTTTTTTTTTTTTTTTTGAAACCATTTTCCCGCCTTTTTTATGAACAGTAAAAAAAGAAATTATCTAAAATTGGTAAATGCAAATTGTGCGGCGTATTGATTATTGCACAATGCCTGTAGCTGGGTTTTGGACGTGCACAGTGAGGTCGAACAATTGCATTTATTGTTGATTGTCTGCAAGCGAAATGAGCCGACTGTTCATTTCGTGCAAATTGTGTAAAGAGTGCAAAGTGCGCAAAGTGTGAGATGCAGGTTATTTTATTTTCTTATTTATCTTCATATTTATTTGTTTATTTATTTATTATGTGTATATGTATTGTTGTTTTGCTACTGGTTTCGTAATAATTCGTAATAATAATAATAATAATAATGATAATAATAATAATAATAATAATAATAATAATAATAATAATAATAATAATAATAATAATAATAATAATAATAATAAATAATAATAATAACAATAATGATAATAACAATAACAATAACAATAATAATAATAATAATAATAATAATAATAATAAAAATAAAACTACTACTACTACTAATAATAATAATAATAACAACAATAATAATAATAGCAATAACAACAATAATAATAACTATAATATTAATGATAATGATAATCATTATAACAGTAGTGTCGGTAGTAGTAATGGTAACTACTAATTAAAGTGGTTATCATTATTGTATGATATTATTTATTAATTTTTTCATCATTATTATCATTACTGTTTTTATCATTATTTGCATTATCATCAACACTATTGTTATTATTAATGTTATCATCACCATTATAGTTATCATCAATTATTATTATCTTCAGCATAACTATGGCAATAATAACTATTATCATCGTTATTATTATAATAATTATTATTATTGTTTTCATCATTACTATCATCATCACTATCATTATCATGATGACCATTATTATCACTATTATCATTATTATTATTATTATTATTATTATTATTATTATTATTATTAATAATATTATTATTATTATTGTTATTATTATTATTATTATTATTATTATTATTACTATTATTATTATTATTATTATT